CTTGCCTCCAAGGAGCCACCCGGTTTAACCCTTTCCAGGACAAATCTGTTTGTTTTCCTAGCAGTCCATGGTATTCTCAATACTCTTCTCCAGCACCACAGCTCAAAGGCATCAATTCTCCTTCTATCCTCCTTGGTCATTGTCCAACTCTCTGATGCATAACAAGTGATTGCGAAAACCATGGCCTGTATCAGCAGCACCTTAGTCTCCAGAAAGACACCATTGCTCTTCAGTACTTTGGAGAGGTCCCTAACAGCAGACTTTCCCATGGCAATGAGCCTTTTAATTTCCTATATGTTAGTTCTATTTAATTTGCTATTTATATTATCTATACCTGTCCCTTTGTTAAATTTGATACCAGTTTATCAAGGCTTTTTATCAGGTTTATCAAGTTTTTTATCAAGGCTTCTATGGAAATAGCCTCCTGCCTTTTTTCTGTTTATTTGAAGCATTATGTTCCTTTTTTTTTAAATAGCAAATATGCTTTATTTAAAATGCTTTTTTAAAGAATTTTTTTATGGAAGCAAATTGACAGAAGTAACCCAAAAGACCAAACAGGACTCTTAGGAGGTGGTTAGTTCAAGTGAATAGGGGAAGAACATCTCAGTAAAGGAGAGTGAGAATAGTTACACAATTTGAAGAATGTAGTCAATGTACAGTGCATAGTCAAATTGTTCAATGTTTTGCTGTCTGCCTTCTCAAAACCAGCAACAAAATAAAACTTAATAAATGTATTTGGTATCCATCAACATGAGGGGCTTTCATGGCTTAGAGGTAAAAAGTTGGGCTACCACTCAAGACGGCAGGCAGGGCTGAAACCACCAGCAGCTCTGAGGGAACAGATGAGCCATCTCCTCCTGTGTGATTTACAGCCTCTGAAAACCCACTGGATATTTATCTAGTGTTGGGTCCGACTTGCGAGCACGCACAAACGACAATGTCCACCAGTGTGCACACACATACATACTTGTGGCTCCAAGGCAGCAGAATGAGAGTCCAGAAAGAAATCCCTACAATTAACTTTTAACAAAGATGTAAATTCTATCAAAAGGCAAAAAACAGCCTGTTCACTAAATGGTGCTGGGACAGCTGATGTCCACAGTTGGACAGAGTACTCCATGGTACTTAGAATTACACAGATCAAAATGGATCAGTGACAACTTTGACAACCTTATGCTGAGTAAAATAAGTTCATTACAAAAGATCAAATGTATGATTCCACCTCTATGAAATATCTGGGACACATGAGTATATTCTCTGTAAATGGACCCAAGTTTATTTATAGTTACCATGGGCAACTGGGAAGGCGGGGAAAGGAGACGCACATGCTGGGCGACAGTGAGCTTCTGTTAGGGGTAGAGGAAAACCATGAATGTTGACAATGGTACTGCAGAACAGCATGATAAATACAACTAATGTCACGGAAACGTACGTGGGAAAAATGCAGAAAAAAATTATATGCATGTGTGTGCATATAAGAAAAACTGTATGTTGTTGTGTGTTGGTGAGTTGAAACTAATTCAGAGTTGACCTTCCAGTGGGTTTTTAAGAGGCAATAAATCACATGCAAGGAGGATGCTCATCCTTCTCCCATGGAGCAGCTCGCTGGAGATTAGAACATATGCTTTGAGAATGCAGCACAAGTTCGTATCACTAGGCCACACACACACACACACACACACACACACACACACACACACTCTGGTGGCCTAGTGGCAAGAAACTATGCTGTAATCCTGAAGGCACGTGGTTCAAGGCCACAAGCTGTTCTGTGGGAGAAGGATGGGCAGTCTCCTCCCATATGATTAACTGCCTCTGAAAACCCGCAGGAGGGTCAGCTTTGGGTCAGTTCTGATTCTATGGTATACCACAACAACATCTATATCTATCTCATAATTAAAAAAAATATTGATCTAAACATATTTACACTTTTAAAAAACTCAGTGACCTACATACAACCAGGAAATTAGTACCAGACAAAAACAGGGAGGTAAAACTTTGGGACCCAGTTTTTGTTTTGTTTTTAGGATTTTCAGTAATTCATTGTTGCATTTTTCTCCCTGTCCAATTCCTCTCCCACAAATCACTCTTCTCCTTGGAAAGAAAAAGAACACCTCCCTTACTGTTATTCAATTCCTCCCCATAAGTCCACTCCACTATGCAGCCTTCCCTCTGGACTTCTGTAATAATAAGAATGTCCATTCACATAACCCTTTCAAACAGATCTCTCCCTCATCTGTTTCAGTGCAATATACATCATTCCTCCCCTCCTTTTCTATTTTCTCTCAACCGTGATGTCAGTCCCGTTTTACAACAGTGACCCTGTGCAATATTTATCCTTTTGTGACTGAGATATTTCACTCAGCATAATAGGGACCTAGTTTTTAATAATGGATTCTTAAATATGACACCAAAAGCACATGTAATAAAAGATAAAGTAGATAAACTGAATGCCATAAAAATTTGAAACCTTTGTGTATCAAAAGAATTTATGACATAGCGACTAGACAATCTATAGAATGGGAGAAAATATTTGGGAACCATGTAACTGATTATTGTTTGAAATTGAGGATATGTAAAAATTTATGCAGTTTTAGTAAGAAAAAAAGACAAGTAATCCAAGTAAAAAATAAATAGACATTTCTCCAAAGAAATGGCCAATAGTATAAGAAAAAGGGGAAAAAAGAAAATTACTTATGAGGAAAGTGCAAATCAAAATCACAGTAAGGTATTATTAGTTCACATAGCCATTATCAGAAAAATGGAAAGCTATGAGTGGAGGTGAGGATGTGAAGAAGCCAGAACCCTCATCCATTGCTCCTGATAATGTAGAATGGAACAGCTGCTCTGAAAAATACTTCAGTGTTTCCTCAAAAAGTTCTAGTGATTAAGTTAAACATGATCTAGTGATTCCACTTCTAGTTGTTGCTGTTGTTATGTGCTGTCAAGTCACCTGTTACTCTTTGTGTTGTACATAGGTACAACAGCCCTAAAGCCTGCTCAATCTCATGCCAATCTCATTGTCTCTGACACACCTACCCTCATTACTCTAGTTACTGAGTCAATCCATCTCATCAAGGGTCTTCCTCACTTGTGCTGTCCCTCCACCCTCTCAAGCATGATACTGCCTTGCAACACGTCCAGAGTATACCAGACAAAGCTTCAGAATGCTTGCCTCCAAGGAGCAGCCTGGTTTCACCCTCTCTAGGATGAACCTATTTGTTCTCCTAGCAGTCCACGGTATATTCAATACTGTTCTCCAGCACCACAGCTTAAAGGCATTCTATCATCTATCAATTCTCCTTCTATCATCCCTAGTCATGGTCCAGTTTTCTGATGCATAGAAAGTAATTGCAAAGACTATGGCATGGATTAGGCACACCATAGTCTCCAGACTGACATTGTTGCTCTTCAGTACAGAATAAGAGATGAACATGAATGGATCTTGAAAGCATTATACAGACACAATGGGGGGAAAAATAAATGGCATGCCTAAACCTGACAAACATTATAAAGACAGAAACTAGTTAGTGGTGACTGGGGGCAGCAAACTCAAATTCAATGCCATGGAATTGGAACTGACTTATAGCCCATTGCTAGCTAGTTTTCTGAGACTCACGGCACTAGAAGAGATTTTCCATCTTTCTCCAAAGGGACCACTGATGGATTCCAATTGCCAGAGAAGTGATGCCTTTGGGCTAGCAGGGTAATTCCGCAGTGACTGTGCCGCTAGAGCTCTGCCAGGGTCTTCACGTCGATTAGGACTTACGAGACCCCAGAACAACAGAACTTGCCGCATCCTGTACCATCCTCACAACCTCTATCACACTTGAGCGTTGTAGTCACTGCGTCAGTCCACCTTGCTGAGAGTCTACCGCTCTTTCTCTGACCCTCCACTTTCCGACCATGATGTCTTTTTCCAAGGACTGGTCCCACCTGACAACACATCCAAAGTATGAGAGACGAAGCTTCGCCATCCCTGCCTCTGAGGAGCACCCTTACTTCCTCCGAGACAGAGATGTCTGTTCCTTTGGCAGTCCATGGGATATTCAATACTCCTCACCAACACCACAATCCAAAGGCACTGATTCTTTTCCAGTTTTTCTTCTTTACTGTCCAACTTTTGGATGCATATGAAGCAACTGAAAATGCTATGGTTTGGATCAGGCACACCTTAGGGTTTACAGTGACATCCTTGCTCTTTAGCACTATGGAAAGGTGCTAAAAGAGAACTGAGCTTCTGTTGAGCATGAGAGAAAAAGTTTGGAAATGGATACAGTGATGGCAGCAAAACAATCAACACAATTAATATCGCTGAGCGGTACCCTTACAATGGTTAAAATGGCAATCTGACTACATATAGTTTCCCATGTGAAATTAGTTAGGTACAGCCAACATATTTCCTCACGTCCTCAAGAACCTTTTGTGACATACTTTGACTATATTTTGTGGTTGCAATTGCATTGCATTTTGTATTATGGTTATCATAACACCTTTAATTTAACTGTTATCTGGTAATTGGGTTTCTAGTTGTACAATTTAAAATAACCTTTGGTTATATAACCAAAAGTGGCTAGAACAGCCTGGAAAACATCACACATACATACACACACACACACACACACACACGAGAAATGAAAACTGTGACACTCATGGGCAGCTGTCTCTTCTGTTAATAAAGTTATCTACCATTCTCAATTGCAGACACCTGGTCTCAACACCCAGAAAAGACTCAGCCCCCAACTCCACTCTGCCTGTGAGGATCTGCACTGTTGTGTACCTTCATGTAGTAAATGACTCCTAGCTGACCCTCTGGTGGGTCTTCAGAGGCTTTAAATCACACAGGAGGAGACGGTCCATCTTCCTTCCTTGAAGCACCTGGTGGATTCAAACTATGTACCTTTCGGTTGGCAGCGCAATTCCTTACCACTAAGCCACTAGAGCTCTCTAACAATACGCATGATGATTCATTAATACTTAGAAAGAGATCATGGTCTTACCTTTTTAATTCATTTACTATAGAATTATGAACTTTCATTGCAATTCTCTCTTCCATCTGGGTTTGCAGTTCTTGGCATTTGTTGTGTAGAATTTGCAGCTGCTTCTGGCTGTCTGTGAGTTCCTTTTCCTGGTTCTGAGTTTTCGTCTCCAGAAGCAGGAGCTGTTTGGTCAGCTTGGAAACTGAAAAATCAAAGACTGGATAGTGGCTTGATACAAAAGATGTAATACACATCATTATTGAGTACTGGCAGGAAGCACCAACTACCACTGGTAATATCTCACACAAGTAAAATTGCAGTGAAATGAATTAAAAAATAGTTGCAGTGGTATTGCTAGAAATAAAAGTCAGTTTCAGGAGAGGGTGTAGAACCAGTGATACCACTGCTAACGTCAGATAGAACATGGCTGAAAGCAGAGAATGCCAGAACAGTGTTTACTTGTGGTGTTTGTTTTTTTTAAATTGTTAATATTAATTTATACTGGTTTACTTACAAAGTTCATAAAGTTCATACACATTGTTTTTTGACACCAGACCTTTCTTGTTCCCTTTACACAACCCTCTCTCCACCCACCACATCGTGTGACCCTATGATTAAGCACCCCTTCCCTCCTTAGACCCTTGTACATTTACTTGTGTTTTGTTGATTATGAAGACATTCGACAGTGTGGATCATAACACATTATGGATAATATTATAAAGAACAATTATGGACAATCTTGTAAAGAAGGAGAAATTCACTATGGTTGAGTCAATTGCAGCTCATAGTGACCCTCCTTCGGGGTTCCAAGGCTTAACTCTTTATGGGAAGACACTGCCCACCTTTCTCTAATTGGAGCAGACACCAATCAGGAGCAATTTACACACCAGCAGGGCTCCTTAAACAAAGCAAGAGTAATAATTTCAAAAGTCACTATCTTCAAAACTTTCGGTTTTAATCAAATCAGAGTAACTCGAAATCGGTCCCATTTCAGTCCCCTGTCATATGCTGGAGGTCCCTATGGGTGGAGGGGCACACGGTGAGGGGAGGCACAGTGAAGGCATCGCCTGCTCTGAATGGAGGCAAATACCACGAAGTACCTGCTCAGAGAACAAACAGTTCCTATCGATTCTTCAACAAACAGCTGGGAGCAGATTCTTGTGTGGACGTCACACGTTCCCCCATTTTTAAGACACCACGTTTAAGGAGCTCTGATGGTCTTGTTTGTAGGCAGCTGCACGGCTAAGCCAGTGGTGGCACCTCTCCGGTGGTTCGAATCCACCAGTGGCTCCTTAGGAGAAAGAAGAGCAATATCCTCCCGTGAGATTTACAGCCTCCAAAACACTGCTGGAGGGTCAGCTATGAGTTCTGACTCCAGGGCAATCATCTTCTACTTTTAGACTTTGATACTTACTTCTATTGTATGGGGAGGGCTGCTCAGTCGGAGCTCAGTCAATGGCATTCAACAATATGGCACTATTTTCCCCTAAAACCAGTCCTGCTGAATCTAAATCTCCGATTCACAAAACCAAGTATATGATTGGTGATAGTGTGACATCCAGGAGGAAGTCCATGCATGACGGGTAGTATCTGGAAATGTTTTAACGTATACCAGCTGCACTGTATTAAAGCCGGTGATGCTGATGGTGCCGGGTGTCGTGTAGTGAGAACAGCACACCCGAGGACGCTCTAGCAGGTTTCGGAGGGTGTGAGTCAGGCAAGAGGAGGCCACCCACCTTCTTTCTTTTGCAGCAGCAGTGCATTCCAGTCTATGCATTTGGACTGGCAGTGCAACTCCTTACCACTAGGCCACCAGAGCTCCCTAAGATGATGACATTTGTTTAAAAATGTGATTTCCTTCGTTCTCAGCGGGCGGAGACAGCCAGCAGGGCAGGGCCATAAGGCAGCATCCCTGCACTGCGAGTGCTCACGGGAAGGGCACTCACCTTCCAGCAGATGCGCCTGCTGCACTTCCTGGGCTTTCGTCTGCTGGATCTCCAACTGCTGTAACAACACCTTGTTCTCCTCCAAAACCAGTTCTGCTTGAGCCTGAAGCTGACGCCTACAAGTGATTTGTGAAATTAAACATCACAGTTCTGACGGATTAAAGAAAAGAGCCAAAGTCCAAAAGACTGCATGCACGCTAAGAATTATCTGGATACTGAACATTAAACATGAAAAATGAGATTTAGATGGAAAATCCTATTAATTTGCATTAAACAAGAGGGAAAAACAGTCATGAAGCTTGATTTATAGATTATTTCAGGAAGATTAAATGATAAAATTTCATATATAACACAAAAGCAGACACATGAAAAATGCTCAAAGTCACTGGCTATAAGAGAAATGAAAATCAAAACTAAGTGAGATACCATCTCACTCCAGGAGTGGCAAAGTTTAACAGGACAACAAGTAATAAATGTTGGAGAGGACCTGGAGAGGTGGGAATTCTCATATACTGTCGGTGGGACTGTAAAATGGTACAACCACTCTGGAAGGCAGTTTGGCGCTTCCTCAGAAAGCTTAGCATAAAATTCCATATGACCCAGTTATTCCATTGTTGGAATATACCCCGAGAGAATGAGAACTGAGGCACAAATGGAGACGTGTACACCAATGTTCATGGCAGCATTATTAACCATAGCAAGAATATGGAAATAGCTCAAATGGTCAACCACAATGGAATGGATTGGGAAACTACGGTACATTCACACAGTACGCAGGAGCAACGATTCTGTAAATCACTACTTAACTTGGTAGAGACTGGAGAGCATTATGCTAAGTGAACTAACTTAGTTCCATCAAGACAAATACTCTGTAAGACCATTATTGTAGATGGTATGAGGATCCAAAGGGGAGGAGAGTGGGAACAGAAGGGTGAGGATGGGCGGGGAGGGTGGGGATAATCATAGGGTCG